CTGATTCCTTATAGTGGTTGCGTGTGCGTGTCGTGTGTAAAACTGATCCACTTCTAAATCAGCAATGCCTGTTAGTCTGTGCAATCCCAGTTCGTTAATTGATGAACATCGTCCTAGCTGGCACACTTCCCGAACCATCGGCCCATAATTGACTCATCTAGCGGAGTTTGCATGTGCTGGTAATATCCGTTAAATTTCCGTTACAAACGGCATCGCCTTCGTTCCAAGGTAGCATTCACTTGTTATGTAACAGTTTTGGCTCGGGTATAAAATGCAAGTTTTAGATGAAGAATGCTCGCCCTCGTTTCAACATAAAGCTTATTGTCACTGCCGTTTATTTTGACTTAAGCAGTTATACAAATGTTCGCGATGTTTAATTGGTTAAACTTTTACGATTTAGTAAATTAATTGTAAATTAATACTATATTTCACATTATGTTTAAATTTCCAATTTATAAAAGTATCACTCCATACTGGATGAAACTACACGAGATGCGTTCTCTTACATACTTTGGTGGCATTTAAATGTTAAATTACAATCCATTCGATTCTAAGCTTATTTGCGTAGCTAAGTGACCTGTAGATGGATCAATCACAAATAAGGTAGAAACACAATGCTGTACGTTTTACTGATTAGTCTGCTCAGTCAGAATTCATTCTTAGATTTGTGTATCATATCATATTCTACGTTCTACGAATATAGGCAATAAAATACTTAAACTTTTAAAATATTATGTAAATTGATTCTTTTTATTTGTTGCAAAGTTGTGTATTAATTTGTGTCTCCTGAGCTCTTGCCGGGGTTGACTGCCTCCAGTCTTAGGAATAATTTAGCATTTTCTTTATGATCCTGCACTGACATTGTTTCTTTTCTTTTGGCCTCCCGGCATGCAGTGCGCGTCGCGACAATCAGCGCATCATTAGACTCCACGCCTGGGGCTGCAACTGGGGGCTTGGTCCCTGTGTTGGGCTCGTTTCCCACCAAAGCTCCAAGTACGTGTTTTTGTTGTTTCTACTTTCCCACGTAACTTCATTAGGCCTTTTGCCGCTGATACTGCATTGTACAGCAGGGCTTTTAGCAACTTCATAAATTATGTTCACTTTTCTTCAGTGAGTATTTTACAACATGTACGAGAAATAAATCTGCGAAGATTCCGGCGTAGGAGAATGTGTTTGTCTCATTACTGGTTTAAATACTTAACCGATCTAAACAAAATTAGGTTTTTGGCTCGAACTGTGTCACGTGAAACTGATGAGAAGAAACGCGCACACGTGCAGAGTAGATTTTGATTAATCTTCTTCGCAGTTCTGTGTCAGGGATGGAGTCCTTTTATCTCATGTGAGGATGTGGTATTTATCGCATGGTCTGTCGCACAAGCGGCAGATTGGATAACGTGAAATTGTTACCTCGATTTTATGGTCACACTGGCAGGCGGTGAAGTCAACAGAGCATGTTTTAAGTGGCCTGAAATTCTGACCGACAAACTACTGGAGTTCACATACAATACATTAATCTCAACAACGTCTTTATTAAAGCACGCATTATGGTACTGACAATTGATACGATTCATGAGGTAGGCCTACTTCAAATTAATTGTCTAATTTCACATACATTAAGCGAAATGCCCCACTGTTGAACACTTCAACTGTTGCTCTGTTACAGTATATATCTGTTGTTACCACGTTTATGTCAGCAGCTTCAACCGGGAGAAGTGGAACGGTTGTTTGCCTTAAAGACAGCACGGAAGCTTGTATTTGTGACTCACTTGAAAAATAAATGACAAACAATAGGCCTAATTTTACAAAGGTCCGTATTATATAAGCACAATAAGGTGTTTGCTTGCGTTTATGTATGTTGGTTGTGCTCAGACATGGAAATTTTTATTTAAGAAAATATTTCTGGTATGGGTGACGAAAGCCATGGCTTACTTTTCATTCTTGTTCTGGGTTAAAATGGACAAGAAAGGGATATGGGAGACAAGAGGGAAGGAGACGAAGAATGTTAGGAATAAAATAAAGGAAAGAAGAGGCCATTGCATGAATATACGAAATAAACTAATACCGTTGATTTTCAACGGATATTTCCTCTAGTACGTGTTATGATAATTCTTTATGAGTCACTCAAAAATAAAATAAAATAGGGATTAAAAGGCGACTTTCAAAAATTTACTTCAACCTTAAAGTTCTCAGATAAGTTACTTTGTTGGTGAAAACTAAAATTTATCTTGCACTACTCCTTTGGAGAAAGATTCTGCTTTCGTCTTCAGGTGAAAAGGAGAAGAGGGGATTTGAGGACAGCTTGTCTCTTGGGCGCACTGGTTGATCTAGCCTCAGATTTGGATAAAGTCTGAGGCTATCTGAGGTCATCTGTTGTGCTCCCTGGTTGAGGTCTGAGGCTATCTCAACAAGGGGGTCAAACAGATTAATTTTCTTCCCCCTTCCCCCATTTATCTGAATACAGAAGTAGAATCCAAAACAATTTTACATGTTATCCTGACTGAAGTCCTTTTGTGGTTTTTCTTAGTCCCTCCATGCAAACGCCTGGGTAGTACTTTAAATTATTGGCTTCTGTACTATTTCCAATTAATTACTCACAAATTATTCTATAATTCTACGCTACATAGTCTGATCTACTGACAGCGTTATTAAAGAAACAACAAAAATGTTATGGTATCTAACATACAAGGTAATGTTCATGTTGGTCTTCTGAAAATAGCTTATCCGATACGGTGGTATCTGCTTGTAAGTCCACATGGCATTACAACCCAGAACACCAACATTGACATCACCGCCGTGATAATCTCAAATTTCAAATAAGGTTATGTTAGTTAACGGTATTCTCGCTTGTGAAAGTCGCTGTCATGTTTCACTTGTTTCATGTCTCTTGTTCTCACAGAGTGTGACCGTACATTTGTGAGTCGTCCGGGCGGTCCGCAAAACGGAACGTTTACTGCGCCTTCGTTCATAAATCCTGCTGGCCACTCCCGTCAGTGCATCTATACGTTTGTGGCAGGGCAGAGACAACGTGTTGAACTGGTTTTCACATCTTTCAACCTGCGAGGCACCCCTCCAGAGTGAGTAAACAGATCCTTGTGGCAGTACACATCGTCTACCCATTGAAAGTCGTATTACGCACGAATTTATTATACAGCACACTATAAATGTGTAGGATATTTATGGGCATGGTGGTCCAGGGCGGCGAATCGGCGTCTTTTTTAATGCAAGGGCGACGTAGCCTGAGGACAAGCGACGTTTGAGGTCGCAAACACCCCCCTCCCCCAATACAAGACACGAATAACAGCCTTATAGAATCGGACAGAACTTACACTTGCTTAATTTCTAACCTCTCAGCTTGACGCATAAGCGTTGTCTTGAGGTGTTCATAATTCAGTTGCACATAAAAGTGTAATTTCATCCAGTAGCAACTAGAATGGACTCATATTATGATTCACGAATGCTTTTTAAATACAAAAATATGTGCTATACCGCCCCCAGAAACTGTGTTTTTGGAACATTGCATCTGTGTATAGGACATTTAGTTTTACACATTACATTTTTCACCTTGTCCAGCAGAGAATAATCTTGTCAGTTGATGCACCATGATGAAATTATGAATCACCCAGCATGTATTTGAGACAAATGACTTGTACTTTAGGAGACCCCCTGTGCTTCTCATTAACAAGGGCAGCAGAGTGAGGCAGTGTGAAAGGAAGCAGTGATCCACACTTTCTTCACATCAGCGCTAGAGGAGGTATGTGGTCAGCTTCATGCTCTGACCATTTTAATTCTGGGGTCAGCACCCCCAGTTCACATTGGTTAGGAGGCCAAGGCTGATCTGAATGTAGTGGGGGGGGGGGGGGGGTTTGAAGTTTCTCCATCTTTGGGTATCACATTTTAATCATCAAGCCCATAGCCAGTCTCTTTACTGAGTTATATCACCATGTGTGTGTGTATATAAAAGTAAGAAGTAATAATATTGCCTATCTGGTACATTACTTTTTTCTTCTGTTATTTGTGTGTTTTACTTGGCCTCCAGATGATTTTGTCTTGCATTACCTGTTCTGGCTAATTAGGTTCTCTGCTTTCTTTGGCAGTTGTACGATTCCATAATTCCTTATTGTCCTCGGCATTTTGGTGGGATCTCTTATTTTTCACTGTTTATTCCTCATATTTCAGACGATTTTCCCAGTTCTCTATGTTGTTTCAGGCTTTCAGTGTTTTTGTCTCCTAGCATTCCAAGTTCTGCATGTCATTGGCTGGATGCTTTTACAGATTTTCTAAAATGTTTTCAAAAATTGTTTTTTTTTCCATTTTATTTTTCATGAGATTGTTCATATGATATGTGATTTGATATTTCCATCATATTTTCTATTATTTGTTGGATTTATTTGTCTGCTTCATTCTCTTTGGCTGCACATTCACATTAAATTTAATTTCTTCCTTTTTTAGAGTTCTGAATTCTCTGGTGCCAAGCTACTTACATTTTTCTGGTACCATGTTTCACATAAGTCTTCACTGCCTACTGTTTTATCATCAATTGCAATTTTTCTGCACATTGTGTATAAGAAATTTTCATATTTCCTGATTGTTATTGTCATCTCTGCATTTTCCTGTTCCTGACTTGTTTCCTATACATTCTTTAACCGCTCTCATTTTTTCACCTTCTTATTTGTTGTCTATTCTCTTCCTTTTCCTTACATTCCCTCACTGCTATATTACAGCACCATTCAGTACTAGTGAAGTATATGTTAATACCTATGTTATGCACTCAAAATAGGCTTAGACTTTGCTGTTACAATGTTCTACTCTTACAGTCTCCATTTTAACACAGTCCCCAGTCGTGGAGGTTATCTTTCCAATTTTAACTGCATTTTCCCACTCCCACCTATGCTATAATTTTACATCTGACATTTCTAATTCTTATAGGAAGACACCTGAGCAGAAACTGAATACATATTTACTCGAAACCTTAAAAAAGTGATTGTCAGGTGCATGCCTCAGGATGTGTGTACATATCGGACATATGGAGTTGTAAACGATTTACTAAGTTCTATTCCAGTTGTGATATTTCTTTTCATATCTTTAATAAAATCATTGTTTAAATGTCTTCATGACTGACATCCTCATGTGTTTTGTAATATTCATATTTTATGCACCTCTGACAATGTCTTGTTTGTAAATGTGGCCTATGAAACAAACCAAAAATATAGCAATTTAACTTAAACTGGAATGAAAAACATTTTACAGCAAAGACCCCTGGTTTAGTTCACAAGCTGAGGATTCCTTGAGCACAGTTTCTTATGTAATTTGTGGAAAAATGCGTATGTCAAAGCCATTTCTGTGAATATTTTATACTTATACTGGTTATGGATATATATATATTTTTTTTACAGAAGGGGTGGAAATTATAGGTAATGATTTCATCCTAGGAGAAACCATTCATATTGTGTGAAGATCTCTTAGCCCACTTATTGGTTGATAATTATTTGTCTGAAGTGCTTCTGTTTATAACAGAGGTATTTGTGATGTGTTACATTTGGTTTCTTCACTCACAACCAAATTGTAGGTTGACTGGATTTTGCAGAAAACTTGTACAAGGCACTCTCAAAACTTATGAAAACATATACTGATGAATGTTTCATGACTAAATGTCAGAGTTTGATGCTCTAAACATGTGTACAAATATTTTGCAATAGATTACTTAACTTATTTTTTTTATTGATTTTATAGCGATAATTCTCTAATAATGGGATGCAATTAACATAAATTGATTATATTTCAGTTCAAACAAATGATACAGCTTATTCAGACTTCATGTATATCACATACAAAATCTGACTTAGAGGAGGTTTCAGTAAATTATAGTGGAATTTACTACTGATTATCAGTTGGGTTTTCCTTAAAATATCTATACTGCAAGAATGCTTCAGTCTAAAAGTGATGATGCTACATTGGTTTATTTGGTTGTCTGAAATTTTTTTAAGGCTGTGATCTTGAACTTGAATCTAATATCTGACTGTTGCCAGACAAATTTTCCTGCATGCCTTAGTATCCTTGTTTCATTCACTCACTTGCTTGAAAGCTCTTGAGAGTATTTAATTTACAATGTGGTTTTGAAACTTCACTTTAGACTGTTGCCATTTTGTGTCATGAAAATGTTTTAGATACCTTTACTCTTATCTGTCTCTACTGCTACATTTGACATTTTATACTTCTTTTGTAGTATGCTGTAGTTTTATGCTGTCACTTGTGTGGTGCCATGTTGATGGGATCCCTACAGTTCTTGTATTTAGTGAACTATATGCTGTGATTGTGTTCCACAATAAATACCACTTATTTTGAATGATTTTTACATTTCCTGAGTTTCTTAAAAACACAATCAAAAATTGTTTAATAGGACACAATGAGTAGATTGTATGACTAATATGTAAATGTGTCCATGTGTTTATGCACGCTTGGTGAATTCAAGTTTTTTCATTTTTTGTGGTTTTTTACTGCTTTTCCAGTGGAACAACTGCGGGAGTATTGCCTGCGTGAGTACAGTGTCATCACTTTTCATTTGGTCAACCCTCCTAATTCTAAATGCTTTTATTCCTATTTGGCATGAGCTGCTGTGACAATCTATTTTTTTATTGTTAATAGTACAATATAAAATAACTAATACATATTGTGTAGTGATAGCAGAAATTATTTTATTTTTGGTATTTGAAATAATTTTTTTTTCACAGCAGATTAAAACTTGAGTATAATTTCCAAACATGCTTTGTAATATTCATATGTTAACTGAACATCGTAAGTTTAATATAGCATAGAAACTTTTAAAACAGCAAGTGTCATAAATTTGGTTCCTGAATTAGTTTGTCTTCAATGAAGGAATATAACTTTCTTTCTACTGAGACAACAGAGAAGCAGAAAGAGCATACCTACAACTTTTGTCCTTCCCCAGATATTAATTCTGTAGCTATATTTGGGCCCCATCAAGTGGAATTATATGTGATTTGTTCAGCACTATAGACACTCAAATATTCTATTGCTTAAAAAAATTTGGAGGTGGGTGGTCATCTTTATATAATCCTAATGTAATTTTGTAGAATTTTTTGCAACTTGATATTTTATAATTTCAATTGTTGGTAATGTTATATAGTAAATATGTTTCAAAGAAAGTAAAAATTGTAACTGTATTTATGACAGTAAGCTCAAGAACATTTCAATAATGAGAAACACGTAACAGACTTTATTATTTGTGTACTGGTTCCAGTGCAACTTAAGAATTAAATAATCAAACTACTAATTCAAGGCGGTAAGGTTAAATTATGTTTTCAGAAAGAAATATGGTTGTTTTGCCTCAGAGTGTTTCGTTGAGTGTCTGTTGTTCTGAATGATTAATAGTGTTTTTCTGTATTGCACATTGCTGTGGTTTACATATATTATCATTTTCAAAGTAACAATACTGGCAAGACCTTCTGATACCTAACAGAAAGTATTATGAATGTTATCTATAACATGCAGTTAATTATCAGTGTAACTCACAAGTGAATCCCACTGCTGCTGAAAGACTGTGTAAGAATATGTATATTTGGATCAAAACAAAATAAAAACTGTATGTTTCTTCTATCTCAAAATAATAAAGAAAATAATAGAAATGTAAGAAGCTGCAAAGGAAATTTCTTTTAAAATCTGTAATTCTGCTATGCCAACCTCATCAATATATCATGTAGCAGAACATTTTATAATATTAATCACTTTCCTGTACCAGATTTAATTCATGTCAGTTCATTCTTATCAGTCCTAAATCATACACAACATAAAATACACTATACAAAGCATACCTACGAAATATGTTGCTTGTAGTGCATGGTTTATAAAAACAAATTCAGTTAATTGTTTTACTATGTTTCAGTTTAATATTCAAATGTAATATCTTTTTGTTAATATAGTGTACATTGTTTTAGGAGAAATTATTTTACAGACACAGTCCATAAAGCTAATAAATTATTTCAGCATTTATCTTATCCCACTGTCTTGGTATATTTTGCATATTGAAATATTATTTATGTAGAAAATAAGAGAATAGTATAGTTTTATGAAGAGTGGTTACACAAATTAAAGATATTTCTTAGCACCAGATCAAATGCTTCATTCATTTTAATCATGACTGTCATTCATCATATATAATTTAACATGAATGAGATTGTGTAAGGCATTATCACGGTTAAGATGTTATAAATATGTTTTTCCAGAATTTGCAGTATTGTGTGTGATTTACCAACTGTTCTCTTAGGTTCCCAAAATTCATAAATCAAATTAAAAAGGAATGTAAAACAATTTCTTACATATGAATATATCAAAATTAAATGAAGTTTGAATATACCTCCCTGTAATAACATAAATGAATTTAAAAGTTTGGATCCAAAGTTTCAGGATCATACTTATTCCGCCAAGAATAACATTCACTACAGAGGTATTAAAGAAGGATATGATATGCAACCCCTTGGCCCAAGCAAGACAGGTGTGCTCAGATGAGAAGATATTGTTGATTGTATTCAATGATGATGTTACATCATGATGCATCAAAACCTTTATTTGACAATACTGAAATAAGTAACAAATACCGTTTTCAGGAGTCAGGTTTGTGAAGGTTTCATAATGAATGTAATGACATCCTACACCCTTTGTATGGGAAATTTTTGTCAGACTCAACATTTCAGTAATTTGTCACCAGCCATATTTACAAAGTTTGGCATCAGACTGGAATGTAGTTACCCTAAAAGGACAGAGATTTCAGGTTGTGCTGCATGTCATTTGAATTTGGAACTGAATATCATCCTGAAATAAAGTATTTTATAAAGGAAACCTCATACCTACCATGTAGTAAGTGTTCTTGATACTAGATAATTGTTCTAGTTTTTTTAGGATCTGAAGCTTAAGGGTTGTAGCTGGTAGTAAATGTGGTTTCCTTCAGTACCTCTTCAGATTTTGGTGTTCATAAACCACATTTGGTGTTTCTCCTATGTTGTCCAGATCCAGTCAGGTCAGAATTTATTGTCTGTCACTATTTATATACATTTTGAAATGGAATGTAATAATATGCAAAACAAATGAGATGTAAATTTAATTTAAAATATTATATATGACATATGTAAATATTTTGTTGCAACCCCTTTGTTCCTTGTTGTTGTAGATAATTTCTTTTAAACTGCTTGGCATGTTTGCTCATACTGTCTTTTCATTTTTTGACCTATGTAACAGCAATTATCAAATTAATATTCTTATTGTGCTGTATCATTTGTTCTGTTTATAAATTCTGAACTTCATTATTATGAATTATAGATATCAGGCCTAATGTAAATTTAGTAATGTCTGCCGTTGCAGTTTTCATTCATATTCGAATGTTACAATGGAGCCAAATATTCTAAAAAGTATTTTCAAATTATAGAAGTATAACATTGGAGGTATTCTGATGAACATATGTTCTGCATATATCCATGTGTTTGTATAGTACGAGGCGCGTCCTCAAAGTAAGTTTCCCTGGGGCCGTTTACAGAAACAAAACACAATTTCATGGAAATATTTATTGCAACAGATACAGCAAGTGTCCAGCTATTTTTCAACATATTCACCACCGGAATTGAGACATTGGTCATACCGTGGGACCAACTTTTGAATACCTGTGTCGTAGAAGTCGCCCGCCTGGGATTGGAACCACTGTGTGACAACCATCTCCGCCTCTCTGTCATTCTCAAAACGCTGACACTGACCGGACAGGAATTTCTTGAGGTGTAGGAAAAGATGGAAATCACTGGGAACGAGGTCCGGGCTGTAGGGTGAATGATCAAACACCTCCCAGCTGAACTCCTGCAGGAGACTCGCTGTCCGTCGAGCCGTGTGCGGCCGAGCGTTATCACTGACCGCACTTCACAGTCGGCGGGAGCTGGAATAAGAACCTCCATCTTCAACAGATGCAACGATGCTAATGTGAGAACGCGGGAGGTGCCGTTAGTGCATGCGCCATGCTACGTCATTGCTCTATCACGTACGCACAGTCGCTTCGCGCAATATAAGGTTTGCTAGCTGTGGGACGAGTGGGAAACTTACTTTGAGGACGCGCCTCGTATAATTATACATTAATGTGTGTAACAGTTTAATCTGGTTCCTATATGATATTTAAATTGCAAGAGGCAAGACATTTGTGGTTTTCTATGTTACGATGTCATGTAGTCTTGCAGGAGATTCCCAGTGTTTCAGAGGAAAGTATCATCTCCATCTTCAGTTGATACATTTCTCCAAAATATTGATAACTATGTACTTTACTACAGGTGTCACAACCCAATAGACCACATCAAATTTTTTCCTACTGTAAAAACCCAACACCCAGATAGAAGAAACATTTTTCCAATCATTTACTTTCTGTCTGTTATTGTCAACTAATTTAACTTTAAACTACCATGTTTGGAAATTGCATGTGGATGAGACGTTCAAACAAATTAGGGAGTAGAAATGAAAAGTGCTGTTGCAGAAGTGAAAATAACATTTATTTACCAGCACTGAAGCTGCCACGTACTTGATGGAATCAGTAATACATGGCATGAATTTTAAAATTTTAAATAATGATGTGCAAAGTTTGTTGTTAATGTTGCAATGGAGTCAGGCCATACATCAGCTTTCATGGAGTAAGTTAACTAGCAACATTTTACTTTCTTGCCATTTTTCAGATTTTTTTAAGTAACTGTCTTCTGCGAAACATGTTTCTGCAAGGAAAGGTAAAATTAGTAGCAGACATGATTTGGATGCACCCATATCTCACTATTACACTGCTTGTATTGTCAATAATAGAAATGGACTGAAAGGCTGGGTCAGAAATGGTTTATAAACTTTAGGTGTTCTAAATAACTCAGCTTTGACCTTTTGAAAAATGGTGCCTGTATAACCAACACCAGTTTTGTTACCTATCACACTTACCTGTTCTTCCTCTGTGGAAGTATTATATATATAAAGTGCCCTTCTGGTTATTGGTTTTGTTTATTTAATTTATGTTTTGTTGCCCTTTTATCAACACTAGTACTTCCTCACTGACACTATATATATTAAGTTTTGCTTAATAGTGTAAATCGCAGCACAGTTTCAAAGCATGAAATACTGTATGATTTTTTGCACTGAGGTAGAACTTAAAAACCCTCCTGCCACAAACAAAAGTCACATACTAAACCTCTCCATCTGTACAACTGGATAGAAGTATTAAGGAATTGTTCTATCTATCCTGTCCTCTGTCATAAACCAACGGGCACTTTCTTTATTGCCACCTATACCTTTTAAGCTGCCCAGGACAGATAAGCAGAGTATTATGTTTGACAAATCTTTGAGTCACACAAAAGATTATGTGGCATAAACAGTCTTACATAGAAGCACCATGACTTTGTCAGCATAGTTTGTAGTATTTTTGAGTCACAGAGCTATGGGTGTCTTAAGGAGGCAGGACTTCTGTCGTCGCAGGCTGTGCAGGGTAGGTCAGGATGGCTATGCTTGTAGAATATTTTCTAGCAATGCAATTTCAAGTATGTGCCAACAAATTTTGAAACATGCAGAATGAAATATAATTTTTAGATACTAACACATACTTGCATGCTTAGTATCAGATAAGTAATATTAAGAGCAAATTTTGTTGCACTGAAGTGTTTATGCTTGAACAGAAACTGAATGTATTTTCTGCATGTCGTGTCTCCTACAATGCTCTGAAATGCCACTGTTTTTTCTGTAGGTGTATCCACGAATATATGGATGTGTACTCAGAGGTGCAGCAACCAGACGCATCAGAACTTGTCAACTCGCCATTTGGGGGACGCTACTGTGGCCCAATCCCACCCCGGCGCCGAATCTCCCTCTATCGGGCCCTGGCACTTGGTTTTTACACTGATAAGAACACCAGCTATCCTGAACTTTTCAGTGGGATATATGTTTTCATTAATGACTGTAAGTATTTAATATGGATATTATTTATTAACATTGCAGTAGAGGCTTAACAAATAGACATTTAATATGATTTGAGGTTTTCACTGCAGTGAGTCTGAAGATAACTTTCTTCTGGGTTGTGTAGTCTGTAGAAGTTTACTAATGTCTTAGAGGACCTCCACATCTTAAAATAAGAATTTTTTGCCATTTACCAAATTAATTTACAATGTCTTTGATGTTCTTGTAAGTCATATTTTGTTTACAAATCTGATTGGCTTCAATCACATCAGAATAGGAGCTGTTCAAAACTCAGACAGCCATCTTCAGAATTGATCTGTGCCTTGCCTTGGAGTGTATGTATTAATAATTTTTTTCTGAAGAAAAATATCTTATTTTAATACTTTGTATTTTGTAAGTGGGTGGAAAGTTATAAATAAATAATAACATGTCCTTGAAATTGTCCACTAATTTGTGGACACCTAATATTTAGTTATATGGTTCTCACAATATCTTTCATATTTTATTGTGCAAATTTGAATGCAACAGGTATATCATTTATTAGGATAATGTATTGATTAGTATTATGGTATGAATATTTCTGAGGAATGTCAGATTAATAGCACTAACAATAACATATTTATGGATTTTGCTTTACTAAATCACACAAGGTTAACTATATGTTCTGTATGTTTTTTGCAGCCACCTATGAAATTGGTACCCCAGTGCCAAATACACCCTGCAGTTTCACAGTCCATGCAGCCAGCAAGAAACAGGGTATGATTGTTTCACCGACATACCCAGGAGCTTATCCGAAGGATCTGAGCTGTACTTACCAGTTTCTGGGTCTCGCAGGGCAGAGAATTCGAATAGAATTCCGAGACTTTGACCTTTTCTTTGGAGGACCTCAGTACGTACTTTGTAAATATGTTAGTAAATGAAGCATGTTCTTACTTTATGAAGCCCAGAATATATATATATATATATATATATTTATCTAGTAGCAGATTATGTTCTCCATTTAGGATCGAAGAAATTCAGTGTTCCCTACAGTACTTAACATACTAGAAGGAAGAGAACAAAACACATGTAAATTAACCATCTGGATTGTTGGAGTTTTTGACCTTGTCCTTTGTCTGATGTTATAAAACACGCAACATTTTGAGAACTTGTCTTCAAGTGTAGTGAAGGGGGCACCTACTTTGTGGGGTTTGTTAGAATGGGCTAATTCCAATCACTACACCTGAAGACGAGGACAGATCCACATCTCAAAATATTGTGTTTTATATCATCAGACGACGGACATTCAAAAAACCCAAGAACAAATATTGTATTACGCAGTAGTCAGAACCCTTCAGAACAGATCTGTAATTTAACTAGCTTGAGAAGGTCAACAATAAGTAAATTTAAATTACCCAACAAGGGGTTAAGTACTATATTTAAACCTCAAACTTTTCAATAAAATTTTTTGAAGAAGTATTATATGCTCTACAAAATATATTATGGTAATTATTAATTATTAATGAGAAACATGGTTCATTAGTGCAGTCAGAAGCAATCCCAGATCTTATTGTTAGAATTTTCTTTTAACCTGATCAACTTTGTGTTCTCAGTGGTTTATTGAAATTAAATGGAATTACATATCCAAGAACATTAATAAATAAAAGGTGAGATGAGTGTTTGAATTTGTAACATTATGAACCATTCAGAATAGGGTACAGGAGCATACACAGAATTAACCTTTCTCATGCAGCAATTTGGTAAGCTCTGCACTATGTTGCTGCTGATTGGACTTTTAACTCTGGGCTTAACAGGCTGCTGTAAGCCAAAATACATGTCCAGTTAACTTGAATACATGCAGTGTTATGACAGTTATTTCACAGTGGTGCAAAACTTTAAAGTTATAACAGCTATAAGATATAGAAATATGTTACAAAGTTATTAAATTATTCATTTGTATTCCTTGATAGGCAATTTAATAGAAGCAGTAAATGCTATAAAAATACAAGTACAATGGTAAATTCTACCCGGAACTTCTTGCTTGTAGTGTGATTATAACACTGTTAACCTATTGTAAATATTTTGTCTCTTTAGGTTTATACTTACAAGGTTTCACTGTTCTGTTTTAGCTGTCCTTTTGACTATGTGAAAGTTTATGATGGAGCAGATAATGAATCAGCAGTGATAGGAACTTACTGTGGCCAGCAACGCAATTTGGTACTGTACTCATCAGAATCTTCATTACTTGTGACCTTCGTCACACTTCAAAGAACTGCTAACACACAAAATCGTGGTTTTAAAGGAATATTTGAATTCAGTGAAAGTTTTGTAAAATTAGGTATGTTTCTTGTTAAATTTTTCCTTTCATGTTTTGGACATCAGTCTTATGAACTAATAGTGGAGAAAAGGAATGTGTATGTATAAAAGAAATAAATGCTATTATTAATAATGTTAATTTATTAGCATTTTTATATCTCTCAAACCATTAAAAGACATTTCAGCATTCCAGGAAATTTACTACCCTTTTTAGAGAATATGTGGTTGGGTTAGTTGTCAATACAAGCATAAGTTTTCAGAATTATAACTTACTTAGTACCATATGGCATCGATTAAGACAAAATTTTCTTTGTATATTAAAATTTCTGAAATCGGGGTGTATCTTACATTTGATGGTGCCTAAGAATCAATATAGCATCTCTTTTTTTCCCTGAAAACCTATTAATAAACTAAGGGTGTGTCTTAAAATGGAGGTAATACGGTAATTATTTAAAGATTCACTGCGTATTGGAGTATTTGTCTCACTGATATGCTGTTTAAATATCCCATTGATAGAGCTAGTCCCTGTCATTCAACATAGAATGTAGTCTCCAGCTGACTGAATTTCATAACAAATTTCTGCAGAATTACCCATTGCCTGTCATATTTGCACCAAGTGCAGTAATGGCCCTTCCTGTGCATGTACAGTTCTCTGCAAATAAGGTATGAAGAACACTTACGGCAAGCACATCAACACCCCTTCTTGTCAAGTATGAATACCAAGATACAGAATGAATCACTGTCAACATGTACATTAGATACATGAATATCTTTAATTGTTACAATTATTTTTAGGAAATTTATGTGGGGAAGTGATTAAATATATGCAATTAATTATGCATTATATTTAATGAGAATAAATTGTATTTTGCTTACTATGTAGGTTATCTGCATAAATTAAAAACGCTTCTAATTTTCTGTAACAAAATGTACTTATTTCACAGATTTTATTGTGAAAAATGATGGAGAACATATCCGTGGTTCTGAGTGTGATCAGAAGATCCTAAGTAAAAAAGAGTCAAGTGGAACAGTATACAGCCCTAACTGGCCATTTCCATACATACCAAAGATTGTATGCCGCTATTTTGTATATGGCATGCAGGACTCACAGCATCTAGAACGTGTACGTCTTGTATTTGGATTATTGGATATTTCTAAAGGAAATCCGAAAGAAGGAACAGAGTAAGTAATATGTTAGGACTGAATGCTAACATAGGTGATGCACATAGATTCTGCTCTTAAGAAGGAATATAATTTAAATTTATTGACCTTGACTTTTAGGATGTGAGGTCACTTTGTTTATCTGAAGGAGTGTCCATGTGCATAAAAGCACTTTACTAAAGGCATCCAAGGCACCTAATAAAAGATGAATTGTAAAATAGTAATGACAAAAGAAAAATAGTTACTGCTATGTATTTATAAATTTCCATAATACTGGTGTGTGAAAAATCTCTATACTACCTTGCACTGTTAAGTAAGGATGTGCTTACATAAATATAAGTCAAAACCAAAAAGTAGCATATACAGATAATTAATAAAAATAATTATCTCCTTCATCAATCCTTGTTTGGGAGGTTCTGGGTTCAAATCTCAGCTTGGAGGTCACCTATCCTGACAGATTTTTCTTGGTTTCTTAAGTCCTTCCAAGAAAATGCTGTACCTTAAATTAGGCCTTGACTGTTTCATCCCATATCCTTTTCAATCAATTATTAACCAATCATCTGATACTGCAGATAGTGTCATTAAATAAACTGCAAATATTAAGGCTCAAGGTATGCTAGTGCAATGACTAGTGTGTTAACAAAGAACAAAGTAGTATAATAAACTATAATATAAAGCTTTTTAAGTAATTCTTAAGTCCTTGGAATACTTTGATGCTTTTGGCATGAATGCATGGATGCTGATGGGTACTTTGATTGCTGTAAAACATCACTGATTAAAGCTGGAATTGCTTGCTGTTGGTCAACAACTACAAGAACTTGTATGGTAGATTTGAATTTTTGTTTTGAAAACTTTGAATTACATTTTTGGTTTTTTGAGAAAATCAAATATAATACTATGCCAGTGGATTAATGAGAAACTTTATTCCAGCTGTCCAGATGGTTACTTGAAAATCTACCTGAAAGGTCAGGAGACAACCGACTCCTACGATAAGTTTGACCATGAGATGTGTGGAGAGAAGAAACAACCTTTTGTTGTTGTGTCAGATGGACCTCGTCTTGTCATGGTTTTCAGCAGTGGTGAGCTTCAGGGACGAGGTTTCAAGGCAAATTACACCTTTGAAACAGGTAAGTGTACTGTAAATTTATTCCTTTAATTTTACATCTCTCTTTCATCAGAATAACATATTTTTTTAATATATTTGTTTGCATAAGCACCTTTTTGCACTGTAGCTTCTTACATAGCTAACACAAGATTTTAGATACCTTCTGCTTTTAGAGTTACTGAAAACTTATGATTATCTGTTAAATACCAATAAGCCTTCAGTTTGGAGATTATTTTTACTGTACATGTTTATGTACTTACGGAGGAACCATGTTTTTTTCCAACATCAGAGGGTAAAGAATACTATTAATATTTTAATTTCACTGTAGTTAGTTCTGATTAATATCTAAATTGATTGCTTGGACTTATATAAGGTTTTTTATGTGGTTATAAAGTTAAATACATGGAGAGACCTGTAAAGCATAAATTTTCAGATTTGTACAGCATGTTCCTCTATAACACATAAGAACATGTAGTGTATGTTTCTTCATGCTAAAGGGTTGTTAATTGAAAAATTTAGTATTGAAATTTTAGGATCCAACTAAGGTGTTAAAATATGTGAGATTTTATGATAAACTATAAACAGATTTTAAGAGATAACATAAGGATATGTCCAAAATCTATTGATAAAAAAGGAATGTTGATCAGCTTGTCACTAGTGTTCTTCACACATTGCAGATCACTGATAATGAACCAGTATTGAACTCAGTGCAAATGTGACTGGCAGTGGGTACAGTTGCATAAATTTATTATGATATTGCTGTTAGCTGGAGCACTAAGGTTGTCAGATCACTTCAACTTAGTTTGGTACTCTGATGTCTCTTATCACATAAAAATCTCCTCTCTTTCTTGCTCTCTAGATTGATGTGTGTTTATAAATAAAACCCAAAATGAGATAGCAAACATAACAAGAAATGAGAAGTGGTTGGACCAGAGAAATAGGAAACCAAATGGTTTGTCATTGGTGAATTAGACACTCATGATGTCCCAGTTGGGCTGAAAAGCATATGTTTTCATAAGTGGCAATTGTAGGTAAAAGCTATTGGCTGTGGAGGAAATTAAATTTAAAAATTGGGAGCCTTAGTAAAACCCAATTTAATTTTTTGTCATGAATTTTTGATTTAATCTGGTGTCAGCTTTGTGAAAGTTATGTTCACCTAATGGCTGCAAATTAATCAAATATGAGCAAGAAGACCTAGTGTGCAAAATACACAGAAACTGAAATTAATAATTTTAATTAAAGTTTTATAGAATATGCTTAATTGAAGTTAGTCCTAAGATAACTACAGACAATTTCTCAGTTTTGAGAATTTCTTTATCTATTGCCCTATTAGTTATCTGGTTTGTATCTGACTTTGGTCTGAAGTAATTGTGAAAGTGTTCACATATCCTGGTCTGACACGATGAACTACATTTTACTTGACGAACATTATCATTTTCCTTTTCTTTCTCTCTTACTCCCTTTTTCTTTTATTCCTCCTTCTCCATTTGATTTTCTGTTCTGTCTAGTACACACTGCTGAAATATTTGATGATCATAATACATACGTCTGAGACGTGGGCCTTGTGCCGCTTGGTCGCTGGGACCGTGGGTTCGAATCCCACTGAAGCCATGGATGTTTGTCCGCTTTTTTCTGTATTGTGCTGTCCTGTGTACAGGTAGAGGCCTTGTGACGGGCCGATCCCTCGTCCAAGGAATCATACCGAATGTCTATACATCGAGCCAATGAAAAAGCTGGGACCCGCAGTGCTCAGGCACTTGAAGAATGGGTCGTTCCCAGTATCCCAGTAATATGTACATTACACAGTGGCAGAAATTCTTACATGTATCCATACTTCCAGCAGGATTTGAGCCCATGATTGTGCAGTAGCCTTATTTGTCACAAGTTTTATGCTGGTTTTCAGCTGTTTCTTCTGAAGTTTAAAAGGCATTTTAGATTTACCTTGATTTTAATCAAATTCAAAGACGTATTGTTGCCACAAATTTTATTTATCCTTACTCACAGTGTAAATGCACATAGTAAAACCATGTTTACTTTGTATCAGAGTATCGTATTCCTGGCACTGCTGCACCTGATGGCACCTGCAATTTCACTTACCGGAGTGGAAGTAGAAAGAAAGGGGAATTTAATTCACCGCGTTATCCCTCCAACTACCCCAGTGAAACAAACTGCACATACCTCTTTGTGCCAACACCCAATGAGCAGGTCACACTTGTGTTTGACCATTTTAAAGTACGAGCAGATAACGTTAATAGCACAGTTGGCTCATATGGGTGAGTATTTTAGTGTAATTTCTATTGTTTAAATATAAAGTAGGCATATTAGGTACTGTATGTGGATAGTTAATATTTATTAATGTTGTATTGACATCTGAACATTGATGCTTGTTAAGTGAAGCATGAATATTTGTTTTACCTAAGATAAAGACAATATTATGAGAGAATGGAAGATGTGACCATGGCATATCATATGAAGATTTGTTAATGAAGTAAAAAATTATAAAGTAAGGGTGTCTCAGTGATCATAAGTTGTGAATACTCTATATAGCTTTGTAAGATTTGATGTAAGAGGTACTGATTATATCAGTATTTGTAGATTTTATTTGAAGCTTTCTTGTAATTTTTTAACAGGGTTTCAATATGTCAAGAAGATTGGCTTGAAATGTACAATACATACAAGGATGGTACAGAAAAGCTGGTTGGTCGGTATTGTGGGATGACAGCACCAGGTCCTATCGAATCAAATCGAGGTGCATCTGGTGTGAAAATCATTTTACATTCAGATCAGGAGGGTGTGTTTAGTGGCTTTAAGGCCCATTACACATTTGAGAGCGTGAAGTCCATATTTGGAGGTAATGATCCCTTTGTCTCATTTGTTATCTGATTTTCAGGAAATGTAAATTTGGTGTAGAGCTAGAATTTTTCCATAAATATTTATATCTATTGTAGAAATATAATGTGTGAGAACTGCATTATTTATGATTGAAGTTACAAACACTTACTGCACACATTTAAAACTGAGGTTAGAATATTCTGTGCGTAAGTATAAAATAATCATTTGCTTCTTATGGTTTTCATTTTAGTCCATGTATGAGAATTTTGTGTCAAGATTCATTTTCATGTTATTTTGACATGCTACATTTAAAACGTACATATTATATAAACGTTATTTCCATATGAAATTTTTGTTTTGTGTGTGTGTATCATTTTTATGTGTAGCATGTGAAGTTAACTTAACATTGTTGGATGAATTCACATTGATGATTACATATCCTGCATATCCTTCTTCTGGAAGTGATTAATGTTTTTGTGTTATGAGCTTGAAAGTAGTGCCATATCAAGAAATTTGTGACTTTTTCTTCACAGACTGTGGAAGCAATGTTAGTGGTGCAGAGTCTGGTGTTATATCCAGCCCCAATTTCCCCCAGAATTATGATGGCCCCGAACGGGGACTTGCCAGCAAAACTTGCAATTGGTATATCATTGTCCGGCCCAAACATAAAATTCTGCTCAACTTTGAATTCTTTGCTGTTGAGGGTGAACCATCAGGTAGATTCTCTCATATTTTATTATAAAGTATGCCTGCTTAATTGACTGAATGTTGGCTAAGTTACACATATGTTGTCTGCTACTGTAATGGATGATGGAGTGGTTTTCAATCATTGTTTCAGCGCGCGGCTGTCCAGCAGCAGTTCTTCGTCTCTGGTATACAGTTGATGGGCCACCTTTAGAATTATGTGGAGAGAAGCAGCAGACTGACAAATGGCAGTTCCTGTCCGAAGGCAATTCAATGCGAATCAGGTAGTTTTTATTGAGATATTTCAATTAATAGTTAATCCAATTCTTTGTTTGAGGATGCTGAAAAATTGGCATATGCAGATAGGTGAGTGTTCTGACAATAAGATTGTGTCCCTACCTTACAAAAATAATGCAGACATGCCATTACTGGAGTTGCAGTTTTCAGTATATGCTTTATGGAAATACTTACTGATATGTGGATGTGTATAAAAGCTGATGATGACTGTAAATTAGAGTGTATGAAATAAGAAACGTTTTTTGGCATAATTTAAAATCCTTGTCTTAGATTTCACCTGCAGAAACTAAGGGAAAGTATGAAAAAAGATTGGGTAAGATGCACAAATATCCTACTTGTAAAATGTTCTTGCTTCACATAAACTTTTGCATTCACCTCTTTCATAATATCCAGAATCAGTGTGCTTAGTTTTAAATTTCACACTTATTTCCTGTAAAAATAATTTATTTTCTACCTAGATGTGCTGGATTTAAACTAAAAATCTTATTGAACTGTGTATATCAACAGTTCAGAAAGTACCTTTCTCAGTTACAAAAATGATGGCAGATATATGGGTAAATAAGACTCCACAGACAAAGAGGAGTTCTGACAATAAGTGAGAATATTTTATAACATAACAGAAATATACCACAGTGTAACAACTATTAAAAAGTCTAATTTTATACCCATTTGTGAATAAAAATTTCTGACCTTACATGCAGCAGGATATAGTACTCAAAAGGTATTTGAATTTCACAGTAAAATAACCCCATAGAAATTAGTATTAATCTAAATGCATTTTCTAAACATTTCTGAATTTAATCTGTACAGGCTTTCCCATTGCCATTCTGTAGTGAATATTCTTTTATTGTGAGAATCTAAGTAGTTCTGAAGTTATAAAAGTCTATGTGAATAAGTTGCCTATTAGAACACTAATTTAGGTATTCCACCAGCGTACTAAAATAAAGTATATGAGAAGGAAGAATATGATTGAAGATTTCTGTCTTTTGGGTTGTTGCGCTGTGTAGTATGGTCGATGTTTAGCAACGTTTCTGAGGTCATACTGCCTCCGTCATCAGCGAGATGACGGAGGCAGTATGACCTGTGACACGTTGGTAAACATCTACCAGACTACACAGCACAACAACCCAGAAGACAGAAATCTTCATACTCATCGTTGTGAAAACCTCAAATCATACAAGAATATGATCCCTTCAAGGGACAACTTATATATGAGGGTGGTTGAAATTTGACCCAGAATTTTCATTGTTTCTCATAAACAACTATGTGGATCAGTGTCAATTCTGTTCAGTCATTTCATGGGCTTGGACAAGTGTATACATGTAGGAAGAGAGTACTTGAACAAGAATGCCTAATATGAAACAGGTAAGATGATATATTGACATGCTGTGATCAAAATTCGAAATAAAATTTGAACCACCAATGTACCTTGTCATAATTACACGAATCTGCTAGTTCCTAGAATTCTATTGTCTGATACGAATACATTCATTCAGTGGCTCTACTGGTAGAAGAACAAAACTGTCCAACAGAATATATATAGTCATGCTATGATAAATTATCCACATAACTGTTAAAAACTGGCATATCTTTTATATATTGTCCTTACAATAGGAGGAAATTTCAGTAAAATTACTTCACTAACACTTTATAGCAGGACCAAAAGTTTTAAAACTGTTAATACCAAACTCCACTGTAGGACAGGATCCTGAGCTAGTTCCATCCACTTCCAGTACTTACAATATCTCCCTGAGAGATTCATCTTAATATTATACTCCCATCTTATCCAGCATCTTCCAGTATTCTGTATATGTTTCCTGTTTCTTCTGTCCTGTCCACATAACCAGACTTTCGTAATGTCCTTGCACCGGATGAACCGAATTATGTACAGTACTGGAAATCCAAACAGTGCTCTGTTACTCTATGGGTACTTCAAATCTAAAACTTCTTGACGATGGTGAAGAGTCAATTGAATAATTTTTTTTTTGGATATTATCCATCGTCTAGTAAATATAAAATGTAAAACGACGTTTCGGAGATGGGACTCTATCTCCGTCTTCAGGTTCCTACACAGTTGGGCCCACTAGATAGAGCTAATCCCTATCTATGGGTACTCCTTATTCAAAGGCTTGAACCACACAGTGACAAGGATTCTCTTTATTACAGGAATTTTATTTTCCCAGCATACATTTAATTATGTAAGGGTATGCTTCACAACTTATCATTTATCACATCCAGGATAATTCTCTGTGTTCCAGAATACCACTGGTCACAGTGGCTGCAGAGACTGGGGCGTGTGGGCCTTGATCGCTGAGACACTGGGACAGTGGGTTCAAATCCCACTCAAGGCATGGATGTTTATATCTCTGTGTTGTGCTGTCCTGTATGGCCTTGCAGGAGGTTGATCACTTGTCCAAGGAGTCCTACCAGTTGTCTAAATAGATTAATAAATCTCGCATGTGTGAGGAGGACAAGGTCCTTCAAGGACTAAAGAGCCACAGTAAGAAGAAGAAGTTCAGCATACAATACAGAATGAAAACTACAACTGTAGTATGTCAGTCAAAGAGATCAATGTTACTTGTAAGGGATGCCTCAGTGTTCCTATAGAGGAAATCATTAAAAACATTTTAGGAATACTGAACTGATGTATACAAATCTTAAATTAAACAAATATGAGTTGTAATGCTTGTCCTTATTTGAATAACGTTCAGTATTGTATCTCTGCAATGTGTATTATTTACAAAACAGTAAAGTATGTTTGTAACATTTATTTTATAATTTTTTGTAGTTTCATCTCTGCTGAGAAATCAGTTGGAGCACAGGGTTTTCGTGCAGTTTGGACAGAAGTAAGTGAGGGGCCCTATTGTGAACAATTCACGTGTGCCAAAAGCAGCTTCTGCATCTCCATGAAGCTTATATGTAACAGGCTAGATAACTGTGGTGCTGATGACCAATCTGATGAAATGAACTGTAAGTAGTTGAGGTTTACTAATTTTTTATTTTTGTTACCCATTCTCAACTTTGCATTGCTGTTGTACATCTGTTTCTCAACTAATACAGAACATCAGTATTAATAATATATATTTGTTGAGAATGTGTATTTGTAATGAGCAGTAACAAGTTGTAGTTCGCATTCTTCAGAAATATATCTATTGAATACAGGGATTCCATTTTCAAATTTCTGGAAAACTAAATGGATGAAGGATATATAATTGCATAAGTAGTTTCAAAATATGCACTAAATAAGAACCAGACCTTGCCTTCAAGTTTTAAGGTCCTATGGTAATTTGTCAAAAAATTGTTCAAACGATATTACTATTGGGATTCATGTATCTGTTTTTAAATCATGTACATCTTCTAGTTCTAAAGTATATTTGTTCTACTTTAACATTTCAATTACATTTCACAAATGCAAGTGTTGTGATTAAGACAAACTTTTGCAAGCCTGAATAAAAATTAATGATATTGATTTTCAGATTAATTGTCAGTTTGGTAATATATTTTTCTTGATAAAGGATAAACAAGAAAACAAAGTTAATACAACAATAAATTTAGTACCACATAAATCAACTATTATTTGACGATGTACGTGACTGAACAGTATTTAGTTCAAGGTGCATATTGTGGTAATAATCATATTATGTGATTAGTTAATATGTAAATAACATATTTAGAATAAATTATACAATAAATTTGGTTTAATGTTCGGTAATTTTAATTAATATTACTTTAAAAAATATATTCGTATTTTAGAAGGACTCTGATTCATAGAGTTTGTTAGTCAACCAGTTTACTTAGAATTAGAAGAGAAACTACTGCAGTAGTTTGGCTTGAAAAGAAATGGATTAAAGAAAGAATTATAATTAAAATTGAAAGGAAAGAGATGCATGGGATGACCCTGAACAAATTGGTTTAGCCAGGTACTAGGGGAAGAGATCAAACATTTATTTCAATGTGACAGTTTTCTGTTACTGAAGGTGTTTCCATTGCGAATCAGATATCAGTTGTCTTCTTTAAAAGCTGTATGTGTTCTTACTGTGGAAGGTTTCCTCATTTTGTGACACATTCATTACATTATATAATTTACCAAGTTTTTCTTTTATTTTCAAGACATGTTACAGTAATTTATTTAAGTGTGATGCATTTTTTATATAAATTGCATAAAAATAGATGTAAATAGTTCATTCTGGAAACAATAATATCTAGTCATTCAAACTCTTTTGTCTGCAAATCAGAATATTTTCTGTTATCTAAGATTTGTTTTCATTTAGAACACCAGATAGTTTTCCAGTCATTCAATTGAGAAGTCCCATGCATGAGTTTTAGGTGAAAAATTCATGTATTTTATGTCACTTCTTATGTGTTTTTTAACATTGTGCTTGCTGTATTAATGATGTGTCTGTCCTTTCTCTTGCCTTAAGTTCTTCTGTTACATTTATGTGATGGAATGGTTGTTATTTGGTACTTTGTTTTAAATTGTACTTAATTAAGATTTGTTGAAAAGTTTAATTAATAGATGAAGAAAAATCTATTATTGTTGTTTATCTGGACTTACCTATTATTCAGGATTTTAAAACACAAACAATCTCTGGATTGGGATTAGCCCCTTCTATTGGGCCCAACAATACTTGAAATCTAAATATTTGTTTTGGTGTAAACTAGGCATGGGCAACCTTGAAGTAACCTTGGGCCAGAAGTAGTTTTCTCATGGCAATGGGCCATATCACATCTACATTTCTAGAGTTCTGTAGAACATTCTGTTAAAGCAGCAGTGCATTTTCTCAGCCGTGGTCATGTAGCTAGTAATGCGTTGCACTCTGTCATCACTGGGCTGAACCATGGGCTATAACAATAATTATGTAGGTACAAATATCGATCTGTCAGTGTTAAAATATACATCTTGGTATTTTACACATCAGATAAATTACAGTTGTGAATGAAATAATGTGTTAAAAACCTGTAAAACTTTATGCAATCCAGGTGCAAGAATGATGGTGGGCCAGATCTGGCCTGTGGGCTGAGGGTTACTCATGCCAGATGTAAACCATTAAAGAATGATGTAGAAACTCTTATGGACTGCATATTATTAATCGTTTAGATAAACCATGATTTGAAGTTCTCATGGCAATGAAGATTTTGATGCTGGTCATGTAGACTTGTAGATAGATACCATTGTTTCAGAGCAATATACTACCTTTGTCATCAGCGCTGAAGATGAAGGGACAAATTGAGATTCTTTTGAAGAGTGTATTATTGAATATGCTACTTACAAAAATACCCATCAGTGTCTCCAACAAATAAAGTGGCTATCTGGATACATTTTTCATTCATGAAGAAATTAAGAATAGATTGAATTCAGGGAATGCTTGCTACATGGAGTGGTATGAAAAGTATATATTCGCGATGCTGATATCAATGTTTTAATAATGACTAAGGATTCAGTTAAAAAGTCTTTTTGATGGACTATCAGTTGGTTTTTCCTACTTACCCTGGGACTTTGCTGTAATGAATTAAAATCATATCTCTTCTGAAACTGCATTATAGTGATTTTTTTAAAGTATGACAAAAAATATTGACAATTAGAGCAATTAATATTTACTAAATTACTAGTACAGACACTCACTAGGCACAATGCATAGGAGGGAAGACATCACTTTTCTGTTTAACTCATTATCAGAAACATGAAACAGGTTGTATTTAATTTTACATTTCCCTTTATTAATGGCTGACAACCTTTTATGAAAGTGAGGTGAAAGTAATAAAACTAAATACGCAGAAAATATCTATTGTTCAGTTATTATGCTTGGGATGGCAAGGTTGAAAATATAAGAGTATGAGAGCTAAAATTGATTATGAAATTAGTTTTCTCTCTTCTCTTTCATAGCTTATAGTTTAGAAACAAATACAGTGTTAGGGTTCTCCAGTATATACATTGGAAGACTCATTAAATGTATTTTTTACTCTTCATCTCTCATAACTCATATTTAAAACTTAAAAAATAAATTTGATGAATTTAAGTGTCAGACATCCCTAATGTACAAACAATAAAGGAGTGTTTTGGTGTTTTGTTGAAGATGAAGGGAAAGATCAACTATAATAAATTCATTACTTGAAACTGATGTTTTATCTTGCATTGTTATTTATTTGGAGCTATACTTCAAACTGTTAATGTTATGACAGGTAGGTAATCATATGCCACTTAAGTTTGAACTAATGTCATTGATTCCTGCCTGCAATTTTACTTATCTACTCATTTAACAAATGTTATGTTTCAAATAATACCAGAAATGCACATCTCCCAGTGTAGTTACCTAAATGCAGTCCATAAACACATGTAGCTTTCATGACAGTAACTTTTTTTAACCAGGAATTAACAAGCAAATAGACAGAAGAAATTATGTCCTGTTTTACAGACTAGATAAAAATTACATGCAGCTCTACCAGCTCTGTTCTATTTGGCAAACATTTTGTTATTGACATGTGCTGAAACCTTTTTGTTGTGTGTTTCTGTCAGGTGGTGCGCTTGCCCCTGGGCTTGTGACTGGGCCTGCGCTCCCCTTGCTTCTCCTATCTCTGTGCTTTGCACTTCTGCTCTCATGATGAGAAAAAGAGCAATGCTAACGAGAGACAGAGAGAGCGCATGTGAAACTAAGACAACGTGTGAGTGCTTATTTGCTGCTTACTGGACATAATTATTATATTTGGTAAAATGATAAAGGCATAAATATCTGAGTTAAAATACAAATTTAAATGTGTTAAACTCATTGAATCAAAACAACAACAATTGTCAATTTGTACTAGAATACTCTTGGATGGTCAGCTGCATCAAAGTTGAGTTACAAACCAACGTTTTAACACTGACCCTAGGACCATTATCAAAGTCAAATGCTTGAGAAGATTTCAGTGCATTTATTCACTGTGAAAGCTTAAAATATTACGTGAAAGTTAATTCATTCTCTTGTTCTAATACCTTAAATAATTCTGACATAAATAATGGCACACAGCTGTGGCACCTGTCCAAAGATTCCTGTGCTTCTGGTTATGATTAGCACTGCCATACTCTAATTGCTCTCATGCACTTGGATACTAGTGTTTCTTTTCTTTTCATTCTTCAAGCATTTCCTGAATGTGTTGTGCATTGTATTTACCTATGTAACAAAAGCATGATTCACTAAATGTTCCACTGTATTGTGAGTAGGTCATGGGTATAATGGGCTTACACCCACAGTTTTGGTGTTTTGTGTTTCTGTTGCTATTCTTATTACATATTTTGTATTCAAATGTTTGGGTATTCATCAAACCCATGATTTGAAATATATTCTAAGTACAAACAAACAGAACCTAATGAAGTAACATAAAAAGAAGCTTAGTTTTAGTTCTGAGCTACAGCTCTTAAAAATTCTTTGTAGAAACGTTTACTTTAAAATAATAATTACAAATCTGTATTTAATTAACACTTATTGTTTATTGTTAAATATAAATTGTGATACACATATTGAAGCTTATAAGAGTAAACACAAAATTTCCTAAAAATGCTGATTGTCGAAAACGGTGCCCCATTTAATTTAGTCTGGAAAGTTAATAAAATGTAATGATGCTTGCCCGAAACTGTATGGCTCTCTATAAATAAACTATTTAACTTTTAGGTAGTGTGGAGGTTCCTGTTGACCCATTCAAACTTGTGGGCGTTGCATTATGTGTTGGTGGTGTGCTAGTCCTGGGTTTATGTTTGTGGTGCCATCGTAAGCATCGACACAGGCGGCGACAGATAGCCCGACTCCGGCGCAACACAGTGGGCTCTAGCCGACGTCAGCTAAGTACCAGTGGTTCCAGCAGAAGGCAGCATGTGTGTGATGAGCTGGGTGAACGCTTTGCAAGCGTTGACAGTGTCTGATAGTAGGAAGAGGCATGAAAATAGTTTGAAGTAACATATAACACATGAATTTTGGTTCTTTGCACCAAACTATACAAAATAAATAAGACTCATTTCTTAAGTATTAAAAAAACTTTTATCAAAAGACAAAGGATATATACTTTGAAGATAGACTATTCTTGTTAGCATGTAACACACTATACCAAAGTGCAACGAGTGATACCATCTGTGAACAAATCAGTATTACGTGAGCCATAATGTGGAACTCATGAGCAGTAATGTAAAATGTGCAAATAAAATTTATGAAATACTAAGCTCACATGAATGAAATGAACTTGGCATGAAATTCAAGTCTTAAGAAAAACTGTTGGAATTGTAGAGATCTGGAGGGGGCAAAGTTTTGAAACAGTTCCCACAAAAATCATGTTAAGGTACTAGAATTTGCTAGTACTTAATTAACAAAGCTCACATTTCTTGAAGGTTGTATATGTAAATTGACTATCAAGCATTGGAAAGTACATTTAAGTATTTTTCTCTTGATTCTTGCAATGGCTGACATTCATATATAAGAAACTGACTTTAATGTAAGGAGTAAAATATGTTCCTGTAAAGCTTTTATGAAGCTGGTTGGTTACTAGCCTAACACAGAGGCCTTTACACCTCACTTGATGTTTGTTACTTTTGAATTTAAAATAAATAAATAAAAATAATTGTTTCGATTAATACAACACATTTTATTTGGCTTTTTCCAATGCTTGGGTCATTTAATATATTAACACTTCAGTAAACATTTTGAATGCTAGTTTTAATGAGTGGTGTGTTTTAATGAGGGTATGCAAGTGTGTGAGCATGTTGTGAGTGGATCAACATGTTTGTTTTAAGAATTAGCCAGTTGTAAATAGCCTGGAAAGGAGCACTGTTTAAAAAAGAAGTTATTTTACGATATGACTCAAGTCTGTTGACCTACATGAATTAGTGTGATGAATTTCAACACTATTGAACTAAAAATATAATGCTAATACTAATACTACCACCACTAATAATAATACTAATAATACTAATAATATTAATAATAATATTGATTAATAATAAAAGAGAATGTATATGAACTTTAGAAGCTAATTGTTTTGACTCCAACCAATTTTCTTTTGCATTATATGATACAAAGTGCAAATTATCACTCTACATGAAAAGACAGCAAGGGAATGCATGCTTTCAGTTTTTTCTCTCTCTTTCTGAGTGAGTGCGTTAGGCGGGTGCATCTTATTTCATTAGTGGTGCTAAGCCCTGTGGACTTTCCCATGCTGCGATGTGGTGATGAGAGAATTAAGTCTTAGGATGGGCAGGAATTTTCACTAATTTCAGATGAACCTAGAAATGTAAACGTTTATGACGTGCACGAGAGGCAGTGTTTGATTTGTTGTGTACATTCAACTGCATATGTCTGCACAGATATGTAATGTTTGGCTGAGTATTTAAGAATGTTATTGTATCCCAGAAGTATGTATGAGATTTATGCATGTAAGTCATCTCAGTAGTAACTGTTTAAAGGTTTTGGTAAAGCATTGATCTCGTGCAGGTTTGTTAGTTATGTTGTTAACTTTTGATACAGCTATCAAATTTGAGCGATCTTGTAGCAGAAAACAGGATGTGTACTGTGGGTCAGTACTTGTGGGAATTGCAGAGTATCACATGACCCTCAAAGAAATTATCATCATCCAAGAATGGTTTTTTAAATTGGTCACCGGTGGC